GGATTACAGGCGTCAGAGCTTCGGCCGCCAAAAACCAACTTAGGTGGTAATATTTATTTAAAAAAAAGAAAAAAAATAGTAAAGGACATTTATGTCATTTCACAAGATTTAAAATTCCAAAATAATACAAAAGGGTTTGATTTAAAATTTTGAAATTCACTTGTAGTGATTTGTCATTTAGCAATTTCTATAGTATTTTATTGTCTTTTTCCAATAAATAATTAAGTGCAAAATTAGAACAAATATACTAAATGTTAAGACAAACCTAAATTAGAACTTATAAAATGGATCACACCCCTTCTCAAATTTGAAACTTATATATAAAATTAGAGGGAGTATTAAATAAAAAAAAAGGGAAAATTACGCACAGGTCTCAAAGAAGAGACTTTATTCATCTAAGGTCTTACGAAATGTTAAAATTACTAGCAAGTCTTAAAGGACTTTAGATTATTATATTCTAATTATAAATGACATCATTGTCCCTTAGATTTCCAATTTACATATTTTTTGCCATGGCCATTGACAACTAGGGGTGGAAATAGGCCAGACGGCCTGTCAGGAGCCTGTGGCCTGGCCTGGCCTATTTAGATATCAGAAGAGGTTCAAGCCTGTAAAAAAGCCTGTTTACTTTATCAGGCCAGGCTCAGGCCTGATAGTAAGCCTGTTAGGCCTATCAAGCGGCCTGGGCTTGTTATCTTTTTTTTTTAAGGTTAAAATTATAAATGGACAGGAGGGAATCTGCTATTCTGATTGGTTAATTGAGAAAACTCCACCCACATAAACGTGTTATCCAGAGCTTATTGCATGCTTCATTTCATTTCCATTCTCTATAATAAAAATAATTGATGTATGTATAATGACACATATTTGAACAGAGAAAGAAAACATAAGTGCATTAAAAAAAATAAAAGCATCATTCATTTATTTGATCCATGCTTTTCATATTAATCTTATATAGAATATATATATATATAGAGAGAGAATTGACCTATTATGTTTTAGATCGTATATATGTGTGCTCAATCTAATTCTTATTATAATAGTTGCTTAATTAATTTAAATAAATAAATAAATAATAATAAATGTAACATATTTTTTTTTAAACAACCATGTGTAACAACAGGATCAAATATCATTTTGTTAGTAAATTAGTTTGAACAAATAATAAATTTAAAATATAAAAGGGATTAAGGATGTTTCATATTTTAAATTAGATCTAGTCATCAACTAATTTTTATACTAGAGATGGGATGAAGTGATATTTTTATACCAGAGTGAAATTATGTTTTCTAATAATTTTTCATATTAGATTTTTTTTTGGGCCTAAGGGGACATATTTTACAAATTGTGTTAATTTGATAATTTCATATTTTTTTTGTTTGTATTTTAGATAAATTGGGTTGAATTATTGTAATTTTGAATTGATTTATGTATGTTTGAAATTTATTAAAAAAAAAAACAGGCCTCTTAACAGGCCACAGGGCAGGGCAGGCCATGCCTAATTACAGGCTAGGCTCAGGTCGATTAAAAGGCCTTTCATAGACCGCAGACCAGGCTCAGGCCAATAGGCCTCACCACAAGCCAGGCCTGTTAAGAGTGAGGCCTGGCCTGTTTCCACCCCTATTGACAACCTCAATAGCAACTATTAACGACCTAATGAGAAGGTATTGACAACCTAAGCAATATTCATTGACAACTTACTTTATAGGATCATATAACCTCCACATAAAAGTAAATTATAACCAAATAGTATAATACAATAACTTTAACACTGAAATAGAAAGCTTTTCAAAACCATGAAGAACTTCAATTAAACCCAATAGGATTATAACAAAATTTTAGGGTGCGTTTGGTACGAGGGATTTGGAGGGGAGGGGGAAGGATTTTAATTATTTCTCCTTGTTTGGCAATACACAAATTTTAGGAGGGGAGGGAAACCCCTCCCCTTCCTTCCAAAATTGGAAAGCTTTGGATGGAAAGGGTAATATTTTGTCATGTTGCGACCATTATGTCTATATTATTTTTAATGTCCCTATATTATCCTAAATCCTAAATTTGAAAAAATAATTTTAAATAAATAACGGTAAAATTGTTCATGTTAAAATATTTTTCCCTCTCCTCCACTCATGAACCAAATAAGGTAATATTAAAACTCTTCACCTCTCCTCTTTTTTTATAAATCAAAATAAGGTAATATTAAAATCCTTCTGCTCTCCTTCCCTCCCCTTCTTTCCATTAAAATTCCTTTCCTCCCCTCCTCTCATTAAGCAAAACAGGCAATGCGGAGATTCATTGACAACCTCAATGGTGAGTATTAATAACCCAAGGAGAGCAGTTGACAACCTAGACAGTGTCTGCTAACAACTAATTTTATAGAATAATATAACTTCTATATAAGATCAAATTATAACTAAATAGTATAACATAACAAAGATTGGGTTGTTAATAGTCGCTGTTGATGTGAGATTGGGAATTTGAGGGGTAGTGATGTCATTTTATAATTAGAATATAATACTCTAAGGTCCCTTAGAACTTGTTGGTAATTTTTATGAGATCTTAGGTGAATAAAGTCTTTTTTTTAGGACCTTGTGCCTAATTTTCCCAATAAAAAATGATACTAAGTGAAAAATCTTGAAGTTTGAATTACGCTAACAACAACATGAATGACTGTAATTAATATTTAAGATGTGACATAAATTTTGGTTGGCCATATGAATTAATAGCAAAACTCAAATCCATAACCAAATATCCATAAATGGAGCCCGCTTCGTTCTCTCTTTCACTCTTTGTTAGCGAATTTCATTTCACAGACCTCGTCGGTGAAAGGAAAACACTTCTGAACAATATTTTCCACCATTTGATAAACACAATCACAAGGCCAAAAAAAAGATAAACACTGGAAAATCCGCCTCTAATGGAACCTGTATCTCATTAAATCCACCTTCTCAAATAAAGAAATGTTGATGATTACAATGGAGGATGATAAGGATGAATCCATGATCTGCACTTGACGTTTTTGATATTGTTCTTCATCATCTCCTTCTCATCCAATCAATGCCTGCACCGGACTTTGGCAATGGCCGCGCGTACATATGGATCACCACTTGTATTTTGTTCATCTGCATCGTCGCCGGCGGCGCCTGCCTCCTGGCTTACGTGTTGCTTCCTGAAGACCAAGTGGCGTCTTGGTTGCCCGTGGCTGGGGTGATATTGGTTTGCCTTCCGTGGGCGTTTTGGCTCTTAACTTTCATATACCGAATCGTTTCTCGTGCTTTTGGATTTAGGGTTAGGTTTGGTGGTGGAGGTGGAGACGGAGGAGGAAAAGTTGGAAATCAGAGGAATTACTCTGGAAATGAAGATATTGAGGGTGCAGGTGGGCATGCAAATGGCAAGGGAGATGTCCAATTCGGAGAAACCGGAGCGCCGGCGGCGCGAGGCGGCGGACTGCAGAGGACGTCGTCGGTCGCTTCGAACGAGAGCGAAATGCCATTAGCGAAGTCGATGAATTCGTGATGGAATTGGGAAAATTTTTGTCCGATTATTTGTGGCTCTTCCCCTGGTTGCAAGAAATCAAACTGATCAAACTCTGTTTTCGGGGAAGACGAATCGCCGATTTTGTTTCACATTTCGATGATCTTCTGTTTTGGCTTGCTTGCCTTGGCAAGTGAATGATCTGAGGTAATATCATCCTTCAGTTTCTTAGCGATGACCCAGCCTCTGCCGCACAGTTTATCAGATTAGACGAGGACACACACATATACGGCCACAATGTGAGAAGATTCACTGAAGCTTTTGTCTTTTTACCCACTTTAATTCTAACAGTTTTTTGAGAGGTTAATTAATTTATCTAATACTACCAGTAATTAATATCTTGGTCGGGATCATGCAGAGGATGTCAATTTAATGTTCTAATGATTTAATTAATTGTCATAGGCTTAGAATTTCTTAGTGATTCATTGATATAATTCAGTTAACTTTTCCCCCAGTTTCCTTGTTCTTTAGGAATATTTGCTTGTCATTTTGCATTTGTCCTCTTTATTATTATGGTTTTTTTTTTGCCGAGCATTTTGTTCTCTTTTATTTTCTTCATGCTTTAGCAAACTATACGACTAAAATTAATACAATACCCATTATTTAAGGAACGTAATTAATAAAAAAATCAGTTTTATAGATATATCTTTTTATTTTATTTAGAAGGAAAGCTCATACACTAGCACGGTAGCACCCAAGCCATCCCATCGTGTGTGGGCGGGAAAGGAACGAGTTTCATGGCCGGAGACATGCATGAATTCGTTCTGCCACAACTCAGTCAATATTACATTATTACTAATGTTATAAATATTAAATTAAAAATTAAGAAATATTCAGTAGATGGGAAATACGATACTCCTCTGTTTTAAATATAAGATCCATTTTATAATATAATTTATATTATAAAATATAAAATTTATTTTATAATATAATTTGTATTACAAAATTAATATTATATTTAAAACAAAAAAGTATGTTGTTTTTACTTTGGCATGACGGAAATCAGAAGGATTTGTAAATTGTGAGTTTGCAACGACGTACTGGATCTTACTATTTGATTTGGCAATCGAGAAAATTAATTATTAACGCCTATGAAAGTAGAGGCACCCTCGCGCCCAATTGAAGAGAACCTGATGAAATGACTAAATGAGGCCTAGCGAGGGAACAGGTGTAAGGTAGAAAACTTGAAGGACTAAGGACAGGTTTGTAATTTTATAGATTCTGCACCGGCGAGGACAGGGACTGTCACAGGCTCACAGCCTACTCTCGTCTCGTGCAACTCTGTTAGTGTTAGCTTTCCGAGGTTGAACGGAAATGGAAATATTTCTGATCAAAGTGGGGAAGCTGAGGTCCAATATATGAGGTCCAATATATAAGGTGGCTTATAGCCTTTACAGCTTCATAGTTTGTTTTCCTGCTCGTTCTTCCCTTCCCTTCAATACCTCCCCTCCGCCCCGTTACTACCAAGCATGGCGGATAAAAAAGATGGCAAGAAATCATTGAGCTTCAGTTCCAGCCCTTATCGAATCCTCCGAGAACTTTTTGCTCATTCTAAGCTCTCATCCAAACCGTCTGGTATCTAAACTCTCTCTCTCTCTCTCTCTCGCGCGCGCGCACACACACGTTCTGCATGCTTGCTTGGATTTATACTTTCTTTCCGTCCTTCTTTTGCAGATGATGAAGATAAGTTATCATCAAGGTGGCGACAAGATAAAACTTTATCGAACGACAGCAAAAGTGAAGAAGATGGTAGTATCCCACCATTTCTACCACTACTGAAGTTGATTCTCCTATTGTTATTCATTCATTGTCCTTGCCATTGAACTTCTTCGGCATTCCTTCTTCATCTAAACTGAGTTTGTCGTTTATTAGAGCAACACTCGGCGGATGATGAGAAGCCGACCACGGCAGATGGCCGACACAGACTCGCTGCCGTTTCGCCGAGAGGAAGTGATACATACCACAGTAAGCATGCTTTCTTTATTTCTGACTTTCCCATGTATATCATTAGAAACCACATTGACATGGAAGACCAACGTCACCTCAGCCAAGTTTATATTCACACAAAGAAATGCTGATAAAACTCTCGTGATTGATAAGTGGGAAGATTTTGACCTTGTGTGGATTTTTGACTATGCGGGTGCAGATTATTCAAGTTTACCTAAACAGGACCCCTGTGACAGTTCATACGGTGCAACTGAGAGTGTTGGTGGTGGCATTGAATCAGTGGAAAAAGACTCAGAAGCAGATTCTGTTCAATCGGATCATTTTGCCTCTGAAAGAGTCAGTTCTGTAACACTGAATGGCCCAAATTGTACATTCAAGCTGGAAGGTAAAATCGTAGAAACGTTGCTAAAACATCAGCTGGATGGCTTGAAGTGGCTCTGGTCCTTGCATTGCCAGGGAAAAGGTGGGATCTTGGGAGACGACATGGGTTTGGGGAAAACAAGGCAGGTAAGAAATAAACAACGTAATGCTTGTACTTTACGACTTTGTTTCGCGATATCTGCATTACATAGTTTATGAACATCGGGTTAGTCTTGCAGATTTGTTGTTTTCTAGCTGGTTTATTGAATTCACGTTTGATTAAAAAGGCATTGGTGGTGGTACCAAAAACCTTGCTTCCCCATTGGATCAAAGAACTATCTGCTGTAGGTCTTTCTGAGAAGACAAGAGGGTGCGGCTGCCTCACTTTATTCATTTGAATATATTATAACTCACAGACCCAATTATGTGTCTGCTAGCGAAAAATGCACTAACTTTTTCTCTGCTGTAGATATAATGGAACTTCTAAAAAGGCTCGAGAGGAAGGACTTTTTCAGGTACTGTATATATCTTGTTCTACATGCTCAATTGAAGTTCTGATAATCATGTTCATACTTTGGAAGTTATAACAAGAAGTAGAAGAAAATGAAATACATTACACACACGCACACCGGAACTTGAAATTGAGCGTAAGATTTGGAAATTGTGGGTGTTTGTGGTGGCTTGAAAAGATTCAGAGTGTTTATTAATTGTACTGGTTCAAGCTTCTGTCAGTGTCAGAAATTTATTTGATTATGAAACTTTCATGGAAGTTCAAAAGAAATACATAAATATGCAACATTTTCATCTTAAAGTTGAGAAATCAACTTCGGCGCCTATAATTCAAAGTTGCCATTAGTCTTATTTACCTGTATTGCTTTTTAGCATGAAGGTGTTCTCCTCACAACATATGGCATTGTTCGTGGCTATTCTAAATCATTAACAAAGCACAGGCACTTACGATCTTATGATGAGAAAAGCCAAGACAACCCCAAATGGGATTACGTGATACTTGATGAGGTTAGGATGAGTTTGCATTTTATAAAGGCCAATTGATGTCTATTTTCGTTATTTAAGGTTACATTTTGTCTTCATTTTCCTCTTTTTTGGCCAACTATTAATCGTCTTGTTTCATAGTAGGATTTCCTTCTGTTACTACTTTATTTAACTCTCTAGGCATGTTTGGGTACCTTTCGTGGCTGGTTTTTTTTTTTTTTAAATAAAACGTGGAAAATTTGGATTTTCTTTTGGAAAGAAGAAGGTATCTATATGAATGTCACTTTTTGGAAATTAGGTAGAGGGTTGAGGTGTGTGATCTTTGCCGTATACCTTGAATTCTGTTATCTACTTGACTCTAAACCTAAATATCAATAAACACGATAAAAAATAAAGGAGTAAATTTTTACTTGTCAAATTGGTTTTAACCTTAGGCCCATTATATAAAGAATCCAAAAACACAGAGAGCTAAAAGTTTGCTAGAGATACCATGTCCCCATCGCATAGTCGTCAGTGGCACGCCATGGCAAAATGATCTTAAGGTATTTTAATAACCATTGTCTTTATTTTGTAATTAATAGATTTTCAAATTGTATTATCTTATTTGGATTTAGTATTTTATATGTTTTCCCAGGTAACCTGTTGTGTGATTTTTTCTCTCTTAAAACTATGTAACAGGAGATGTGGGCCTTGTTCAATTTCTGCTGTCCTGGGTTGCTCGGTGATAAGGAATGGTATTAGTCTCTTTCAAGACGCATTCTGGTGGAGTTTAGTTTCTTATTGGGTTAACTGATGAAATTTTATTATATGTATCAGGTTCGAAGAAAAATTTGAGTGGCCCATACTTTGGGGCCGTGACAGAAGAGCTTCTAAAGAAGCCAAGCGGTTGGCTTCCTCTTCGGCAAAGGTTTTGAACTCCAAAATCTGCTTTCTATTGGCTTGGTTTGGCCTTTGTTAGGTTCTATTATTCAAATATTACGTTCACACTCCCTCAATATCAATTAAGAACAAATTTCTTGCACTAACCCAAGTTAGATCATTGTATTCTCTGATCAGGAGCTCAGAGATCTTATTCATCCTTTCTTTTTAAGTCGTCAAAAGAGTGAGGTTGGTGAAGTTAAAATTTCTAATAAACAAGACATTGTTGTGTGGCTGCGACTGACCAATATTCAGGTGAGATGCAACTTTTTGTTGTAATGTATTCTCTCAGACACAGAATTTTCAATCAAAGCCACCTTGAAAATTTTGAGTTTTGTTTCTGTTTGATGTTATGCAGCGACAGCTTTACAAGAAATGTTTGAAGAGTGTGAACTATAAAACAATATATGGAGCACCGTTTGCTGCAATTGAGGTGAATTTTCTTTATTCAGGATCTTTTCCAGTGGTGTTGTTTCCTTTGTAAATGTGATTACTCATTTCTCATATGTCACAAACTTAAAGTTTTTGTTTTGCCATATCTTCCATTTTCAAGTTAATTTTAAAAACTATTTAAATGAAGCAGATGATGAAGAAAATATGTGATCATCCACTTCTGTTGTTTAAACGGAACCTGTCAGGAGGTAAATACAGGAAGCTGTTGAATCTAGCAGAGGCTGATCTTGCAGATAGTTTGGCAATGCGCATGAAAGGTGTTGGTGACGCGTACAAGTTCAAAGATATCTCCTGCAAAACGTCTTTCATAATGTCACTATTGGTGGGTATTAAATTGCCACGTGGGGATCATAGTTTCGTATATTTCTGTGTACTTTGTGTGTAGTATTTAATTATGTTATCCCTTTTTAGGGTAATTTGATTCCACAGGGGCATTATGTGATTATATTTTCTGGAAGACTCAAGATGCTTGATCTTATTCAGGTTGGCCCTTTTTTTTTTTTTTAAGGTAAATCTTATGCAGGTTGGTTTTGATATTTGATGTTGATGGTATGTTGGTGCGTCCTTACTTAGTAGGTCCGAGTTTTGGATCAAATTCTATGAATAGAAAAAAATACTCCTCTAGGCCTTAATATAAGACCCATTTAACTAATTTGATTAGATTAAGGAAGTTAGGTAAGTTAGTTAATTATAAGAAATGTGACACGTTTTTCCTAAAATACTATAATCATCTTTCTTAATACCCCCTTTTCCTCTTATACTTGATTATGGTTGAGGAATTTATCTATAGGGGTAATTTAGAGAAAATTGATAAATATGAGAAATGGATCTTATATTTAGAACTAAAACCAACTCAATAATTAGATCCTATATTAAGGACTGGAGGAGTATTTCTTATCAGGTTCAGGATTTATTTGCTTTGTTATGTTTATAGCAATAACATGAACGGAGGCAGATAAAGACATATAGGTACTCTTGTATTTGAACCGGCGAAAGAAATGGTTAGTAATATATTTTGCAACAATTTTATGAGCCTGTAATGAGAATGACTTTATTGGCGATAATTTTTCCATTCAAAATTTTGGCTTAATGGTGAGAGCATTATAGTTTCACCAATCAATTCATGAGTTTGAAATGGAATTTGTGCCGAAGACAAGGCCAAAATATATCCTGTTTTTGCATCACTGTTTTATATAAATCACATTCATCTTGAGTTAATCTAAGGTTGAAAGATATGTTTTACAGAAATCCCTATTGTCCGAAGGTTATAAATTCTTACGAATTGATGGAACAACAAAAGTCAAGGACAGAACAAAGATTGTTAGTGTAAGTATTTTGTATTGTGAAATAAAACTACTACTTCTGTCCTCCGGTACCTATTTTCTTTTCTTTTGTCAGGATTTCCAAAATGATGTGGCTCCCATATTTCTCTTGTCATCTAAAGTTGGCGGTTTAGGGTTGACACTAACTAGGGCTGATCGAGTGATTGTGGCTGGCCCTGATTGGAACCCAAGGTGCTTCTTTAAGAGTTTCTTTCTCTGACTAGTAACTGATAAAATATTCAGTATATTGGAAGTTGTTTCTTAATCAAGTATTGTTAGTTGAATCTGATATCATGTTGCAACTAATCAAGTCATTACTTTTGTGTGCTTATTTCATCCATTTGATCCTCCCTGTGACCATAAATATAAGAGTTAGATAATTAATTTAGAATGATTAAGGAAATTATTTAAGTTAGTTATTTCTAATAAATAGGCAGGTTTATCCTAAAATACCGCCTTTAATCATTTCCATTAGAAACTACCCACGGAACCCCCTTATTAAGTTGAATTCATAGGAATAATTTAAAAAAAAAAATATAAATGTGGGAGACAAAATGGATTGAGATATTATATTTAAAATCAAAGCAAACCCATTTACTAGCTCCGATATTTAGGAATATCTTTCAGTTTCATGCCCTTTTTAGTATTTATGTGTATATTTTATTTTCTTGAATGTTAGTATGGCATGTGTAAATGACTTGAGCTCTGTTCCTCTAAAGAAGACTGCCTAAAAATGTTGAATATAAACTCTTAACAAATGTCCAGATAATATATATTTCTTGGCAGTACGGACAACCAGATTGTCGATCGTGCATATCGTATTGGTCAAACGAAAGATGTTGTTGCATATAGACTAATTACGTGTGGAACATTCGAAGAAAAAGCATACAGGAAGCAGGTAAAGGATTTTCTTTTAGCTGTTGTTTTGAAGGAGTTTCTAATTCTGATGTGTAGACGTTTTGATCGAACCCTTTGACTTAGAATTATTGGAATTCTAGGTATTCAAGGACGGATTGTGTAAAACAGCAAAAGAGCATAAAGAACAAAATCGTTACTTCAGCAGGAGGGTACAATACAAGTGTTGAGTGTTGTTTGTTTCTGAGGTATTGTGGCAACAAACATGTTTTACGAGGTTCTGACGCAGTGTATTATTTCTTCATCGTTCTTTTCAGGATCTCAAATATCTTTTCAGTCTCCCCGAAAAAGGCTTTGATGTATCTGTCACCCAGCAGCAATTAGAGAGGAAGCATGATTGGCAAAAGACAATGTACGAGTTTAATCATAACTTCAACATTTTTTCTCTGATGTCAAAATCTTTTTCCACTAAATGCATGCCTTTCTTGTTACACGGCTCAACCTTTCAGCTGCATTTAATTCTTTTCTCATGCATGCATGGAGTTGAGGATTAACTGGTTGTAAAGTACGAATGTTATAGCTCAATCTGTTATGTGAGGATTATGAAATTTAATAAGAGCTCAGGATGAGTTATAAATTATGTTTTAAGACTCCCTCATGTCCTAAACGTAGGAAATAGGTAATTAATTTATAAAAATTAAGAAAAATTGGTTAAGTTAGTCGATCGTATTGGAAACTATTTTCATTGAAAGTGGATTGAGATGTTACATATAAGATCAAACCAAATTCTTCGACTAGTTTGTGCATTTAGAACCCAAATACCATTTTTGTTAAACCACATGATAGGTGGAATGCAATTTTCGGATTACTGACTCAGCATTTATGCTGTCTAGGGATGAGTCTTTTAAAGAACATATAGAGTTCCTGAAAAGTCTAGGCATAGCTGGAGTTAGTCACCACAGTGTACTCTTCTCCAAAGAAGCATTGGATGAAGATGAGCCTGAAAATGATAAAGCACCAAGGTAATATTTCAGGGATATTAAAATGTTTGCTTCAGATATGGTTCTATCAGGCAAGATGTATTGCTCAAATTTTCCAGCTTGGCTGTCTGTAACTTCTTTTTTTCCCACAAAAAAAAAAAGGCTTTACTTTCAAGTATGAGAAAGATATTTTTGTCCTTTTTTTTTTTTTAGTCGTTCAAATTTGGAATTGTGATATAACCATTTCCTTGTTTTTGTTTCAGAGCTGAGTGTGGATCTGATCTATTAGCCCGGAAGGTATAAATTCTCGCGTTCTTATTCCAACTTCATATTTTTGGCCAAAAAACAAATTCCAATTTCATGTATCAAATGTACCACTGGGCTAAATTATATAGTGAAGTAAAGCAAAACAACACATTTGTTGCAGCATTTCCTGGAGCGTAAATCCAGGTTCAGAAAATTGGACTGGGCTGGCCGATTCGCACAAGACTCCAATGAATGGAACCATAGTGGAAAGCAGAAGACTTTCCAAACTAAGTTGAGAAATCAGGTGGACGAATTCAAACTTAAGAGCCGTTCGCAATTAGATGTTGAAGTGAACCGACGTGATGTTGAAATTTCATCGTCCACAGGCCGCAAGACTAAACACACGCAGTGCCAAACCCGGAAGAGCAATGAAAGCATCATCCCTCGTCTTATCGATAGAGCGAGAAGGCTTTTTAAGATAATGAGGTGCGTCGTTCATTTAATTTTAATATATTATGATTATTTTAAAAATACTATAAAATGGGTCTTATATTTAAGATCGGAGGAATACCAGTTAATTAAGATATAATTATTAGTTCTGATAAAATCTGATTTTAAATACTTGTTTCAAACATTCAATGGATCAATATCTTCATGTATGCATTTTATTAATCAGTGATAAAATACTTTGAAATTGATATTAGATGCTATGATAAATTTGCAATGTATAAAATATAATAAAAATCATCTCTAAGTTGTAATTATCTCAATTATTAATCAGATAAATCTACGCAGGTGACGATTCCGTGCACTAGCTAAAGCGTTACGTTTGTTTGGTGGAGATCATATTCATGCTGGTACTGTAGTAGGTAAACTTGAAGGGGAATTTCTAAATTGTTTGATGGAGAATGAAGATCAAAACGATGACTTGCTCAACTGAATCCAGAAGCATTTTTGTTGAAGGAGATGGATTACTTGCTCACCTTGTGATCGTATTATTGTTTTTTGGGCCCAGGTATTATCAAATTTTTGTATATATTCTCAACTAAGAGGCACAACATGTGACCCAAAGAAAGGGGGGAAAAGGACACAGGACACTGCAGTTACTGTCTCAAAAGGACTTAGTGTTTCGCATAATATATTAAGATTAGTAAGTAACATAATCTGTTCAAGACTATGACTTGTTTTAAGGTTGTTATTTTCTTGTAACATTTCTGAGTACTTAATGAACAGATGAACTTTGTTAAAAATATTAATGGAAATCTCGTGCTACTAAATCATATATTACCTTCAGTCCTAATTATAAGAGTCAATTGACTAATTTGAGGAGATTAAGGAAGTAAGTTGAGTTAGTTATTTGTCTTAAATAGGTGTTGTCTTTTCCAAAATATCCTTGCTAATCAAGTGTATTAACTAGAACTATCATTATTAGAAGGGCTACTTTGGAAAAAAAATGTATAAATATGAGAGACAAAGTGGATTAGGATCTTATATTTAGGACAAAAAAAAGGTCAAACAGGGTTTTATATTAAGGACCGGAGATTGTATATAGGATAATAAACATGATTTTTTTTCCCGTTTTTTATCTGAAACGATTCGCTCTTTAATTGAGCAGTGACACTACGAGGCGAAAGGCATAGGCCAATAAGTGTGGTCCCGGATGCCGCAAAAAAGAAAAAGTTTTTTTTAATTCTCTCTCTTTTGTAAAGCCATACTAGCTTAGTCCAATTAATTTTGTGGTATTAATTTGAATTATCAGACTTTTAATTGATTCATGTGCTTGATCTATTGATCTAGTTAAACCAAATTCTCATGGTCAACATTCCTTCTTCTTCACTTAGCTGTCGAGCTATTATTTCTATCATTATCGGCCTTTCTATCCTTTGTTGGGTTAAAGGAAATATAATATTAACTTTTTGATGGAGAAATTTGAGGGAAAAAATTGGACTCACCCACAATCAAAGGGCAGGTAAACTAACTCATGATTTACTGGGGTCTGTCCCTACAGGCACGGAAGCATGACAAGCAAGCATATATTTTTTGGCCCAATAGGTAAGAATCTCCTAGTGTCACTAAGCTATGAATATGCCTCCCCCAACACTTCGACTAGCTCAGGGATTGAATCTACTCCATTTGTTAGAGTGTCTAACCCTCTTGCCAAATATAATATTAATTTTTATTAATACTATATCTGGTACTTAATATAAAAATTAATTTAATATAAAGTTAAGGTGCATCCAACACTCTAAAATATTTTTTTAAATGTATACAGTACTCTTAAAAATATTTTTTTAAATGCATCAAACATCTTAAAAGATGTTGAATGCACCTAATAAAATATTTCAAAATGCTGAATGTATCCAAAAAAAATTTTGGGGTGCTAGATTCATCTTAATTCTTTAATAAAAGAATAGTATCTTTATAAATAGCAAACTTTGCTGTGCTTTAAGTATAAATTGATGTTTTGGTGAAAACCAAATTATAATTATAAAAGTGATTTTACGAAGTTTGAAATAACATATTTGAATAGAAATCAAATTATGATTTTAGAAATAATTTTAAATGAGGGGGATTTTATCTCTACTTATGTGAAAATATTTTTTTAAGTGTTTTTGGAACATTCTAAATAGCCCATAAATAATTCCCTATTATTTTCAAACCATAAATGTTGAATCTTTGCTATTAGTACATTTCAGGAAAAATCACTTTTTACTCCTCAACTTTCAACTCACAATTCGCATTCAATTCTTAAATTTTAACTTGTTTAAAACTCAAGACCTCATCTTATTTATATTTTCATCCTTTGTCATCCACGAATCATTTTTAGTGTCATCCTAACTGGGAAAAAATGATGATTCAATGGCATCATATCACGAATCGTGGGGGAAAAACAAAGAGCAAAAGAAGGTTAAAGTTTATTACTTTCAATTTTTAAATAAAATATTAGGAGGTATTTGAGTGAAAACAAAACTATATAATTTGCACAAAAAAAACTATAAATATAAATAGTTTAAATTTTAAAATAATTTTTTTAGTTTTTCTCATATTTTTAAATTAATTAACTATATTTTATATTAAGAAACGAAACTAGACTAAAAGATAGAATCGAAAGAAAAAAAAAAGGATTATAGAACAACGAAATTGAAGGAGGAGATCAGGAGGATCCAATGTTGTTGGCCTAAAGTGAAACTGAGAAGGCTCAATACCCTCACCCGAATAAGGAAATTGAGCTCGTTGCTTCAGGCTTGATTGGGATAGAAGTTGAAACCTTCAAAAGTAGCTTTAAATATTTTGTAAGGTATGCTTAACATTTTAAAGTATTTTTCAATACAATTTTATAGTTCATAATTTACGGTGTTAGATGCATTAAAATATAATTTAGAATATTAGATACACTTAAAAAAATATTTTAACATATTAAATATGTCACAAGGTACTTTAAAATATTTGATGTATTTAGAAAAATATTTCAAGATATTAAACGTAACTTTAAACCTTTTTATTAATATGACAAGTCAATCAATAATGTGACATTTTTTTACTTAGACCTTCTAATCTAATTCACATCACGCAGGATATTTTTTTAAAAAGAGAAAGTTACGAGTTTTCGATACGTTCAGAATTACTTATAAACATATTTTCATAAGTTGGAATTGAACAGTTATTTATAAATCGTTTTAAACTAACACTTATGTAGCTAAAAATGAGATGGGTGTGTGAAATGCAACGTTTTCCGCTTTCCTTCAAAATTTATATGTTCTCGTAAAAAAATTCGCATATTTCGGTAAAATTAAGAAAAAGGAAAAATTGAACGTGGCCTTGTTTAGTGAGGCCAGCTCAACTATCCACAAATAAAAATAATACGGCTTTCATTGAGCTACAATTTTCGCTACATCTTACCAGATGTGTCCATAACGAGGGTATATTTTTGTGCTATTTTATTTTTAAAATTTTATTAAATGTTGTGTTTTAGTCTTTTAGATGATATAGCAGTAGCAATAGTTGCAGTCTATGTGCCTGTATGGGAGGATTTAAGAAATCTGTATAAGCACGTTTTACATAAATTGAGATAAAACTTTTCTCACATTCTTATCTCGTATTCCGTAAATTATTATTGATAAACTACTTATAAGCTGTTTCAAACGGGCCTATTATATTCAGGATTTGTTTCCACCATCTTTTTTGTTTTATTTTTTGTTCTATTGAGTTTTCTTTTTCAAGCTTAGCTCACCTCTTGTAACCCAAAAAAAGAAGAATTTGTTTCCACTGTGTTCTTTACGATTTTTTTTCATATATTTTGTTGGTTTTTATGCCTTTTTTGTGAAAACTTTGTTATTATTATGTTAATATTTCTCCACAATTTTAATATTTTTAATATTTAAACTCAAATCAATTGCAGAAACTAATTTGAATATTTTATTATCATATGTTTCCAATGATAATTGCCTAATGGAGACATAAACATACGCATTTTTTTTCATGCACGGCTCAAGAGATCTTGAAATGACTGAACGAGGCCTTGAGATGGCTGATCCAACAAAACAAAAACCCAATCAACTGAGGACAATTTTGGTTTTTCATAGCTTTCCTTTTCGGCGACCCGCCCAGCCATCATCGCTATTCGCTACTCTATTTTCCGCGATCACAGGCATTCGTATGAGGGGGTGTTTGGATAAAACCAAATCATGGTTTGAAGAATAGCTTCTGAAGAATAGTTTTTGGGGAGAATAAATTTTGTGAAGTGATAGGATAACAACTATTGTTAGGTTAATACTTGTAATTAAGTTATAACCAATTGTATTCAGTTGTGTAGTTAGCATTCTGTTATGTAGATAGGTACTCTACTTATGTATATAAACAGATTCTCATTAATGAAATATTCAGGATATTGATTTCCATTTTGCCTAGTCACATGGTATCAGAGCCTAAACTTTTCCCGTTGATTTTTCTCTCTCTCTTTTCCTCCTCTTTTTGTTTCCTTTCTTACCCTCTTCTTTGATCTTTCTTTTCCCTTCCTGTCCTTTACCCTAGTCGACCTTCTTTCTCTCTCTCGTCTGAACACCCATGGCCGCTGAATCCACCATAGATCAAAGCAGCCCTTACTACATTCATCCAAGCGAGAACCCCGCCCTGATTCTAGTCGCACCACCGTTGGACGGTTCAAATTATCACAGTTGGCTTAAAACAAGCAAGCAGACAACGGTACTCTAAATTGTCTCTTGCTTTGCTTTCTTATGGTTACAAACAATCTGCCTCTGATCATTCTTTATTTTTCAAAGCCAATTCCTCTTCTTTTACTGCACTTTTGGTGTATGTTGATGATGTGGTTCTTACTGGTAATGATCTAACTGAGATCAATCTTGTTAAACAACAATTAGATGCATCATTTACCATTAAGGATCTTGGTGACCTTCAGTATTTTCTTGGGTTAGAGCTTGCTAGAACTAAGCAAGGTATTTTTTTATCTCAACGAAAGTTTGCCTTAGAGTTGCTTGAAGATATTGGTTATTTGGCCTGTAAACCAGCATCCACCCTAATGGATCCTCACCTTAGGCTTTCTAAAGATAAGGGTCAACCACTTCCAGATCCACAGCTTTATAGGGAACTCATTGGGAGACTCCAATACCTCACTACCACTCGGCCTAATCTTAGTTTTGCTACTCAACAGTTGAGTCAATTTATGTCTGATCCACGAGACATTCACTTACAGGCAGCACATCGTGTCTTAAGATATCTAAAATCTTCTCCTGGTGCCGGCCTTTTTCTCTCTTTGACATCTGATTTGAAGTCAAGAAGCTTTAGTGATTTTGATTGGGCAAGTTGTATAGATACAAGGCGTTTTGTAACTGGTTTTGCTGTGTTCATTGGTTCTTCTTTGATATCTTGGAAAGCAAAGAAACAATCAACAGTGTCTCGGTCTTCCTCTGAAGCTGAATATAGAGCCCTAGCTTCTACTACTTGTGAATTGCAATGGCTCATATATCTTCTCAATGATTTTGATCTATCTCATATTGATCCAGCACTACTGTATTATGATAATCAGTCTGCCATTCAAATTGCAACAAATCTCACTTTCCATGAAAGAACAAAACACATAGAATTAGATTGCCACTTAGTCAGAGAAAAGTTACAAGCCAAGATCATTCACCTTCTTCTTGTTAGCTCTTCAGACCAATTAGCAGATATGTTCATAAAACCACTTCATCCTACAAGGTTCCATGATCTTATTTCCAAGCTGGGCATGAAAAATATCCATGCTCCAGCTTGTGGGGGTGATAGGATAACAATTATTGTTAGGTTAATACTTGTAATTAAGTTATAACCAATTGTATTCAGTTGTGTAGTTAGTATTCTGTTATGTAGATGGGTACTCTACTTATGTATATAAACAGATTCTCATTAACGAAATATTCAGGATATTGATTCCCATTTTGCCTAGTCACATGAAGAATAGATTTTGTGAAAAAGTGATTCTGAGAAGTGAGAGTGTTTGGATAGTTGTTATTAGAAGCACTTTTTATATATACAAATTACTAAAAAATGCATAAGTTAATATGATAATTACATAAAAAATGGATTTTATGATATATTTTAATTTGAAGGAATAAAATTGTTAATAATATATTTTTTATCAACATAATTAATAATACATAAGACAATATAATTAATAAACAATTAATATGTGTATATATATTTATAAGATATAAGATTAAATATGTTTATAAAAAAATAATTGAGGGATTTTAAAGTCATATTATTGTTGAGATCTACTCTCAGGCTCTCCCTTGTACTGCGTCTGAAACAATGAGAAAGAGATGAATAATTAGGAAGGATATATCCGTCTGGGCAAAAAAAAAACAACAAGGTACATATCTCATAGCTCTCATACTTTCTCTTTTTTTCCGAAAAGTAGAAAATTTTACTTTTACCAAAACTATGATTTCTGGGCCAAAACCATAGTTTTGACCTAAGACCATGATTTTAGTTTTTTTTTTTTATAGTGTTTGAATGATTTTTTCCTAAAACCATGGTTTGGGTCATCTCTCAAAGTCCCAAACACCCCTTGAGATTCTCATTTTTCAATGCCCATCTCAAATTCAAATATTGCAATGAAAGCGGGAAGCTGAGGACCGTTGTCGTGATCATAGAGAAATAGCCTCTTGATGGTCCATTTTCGCTCTCATACTTCCTTCACTTGGATACCTTGCCTTCGATACCTTCCCTTCTATTCATCGCTTCGAATATGGCTGGCAAAAGTGGCAAGAAACCATTGAGCCTCAACGATAGCCATTATCGATTCCTCCAAGACCTCTCTGCTCCTCCGAAGCCCTCCTCAAAGCCATCTGGTACCGTTTTTTTCATCTCTATCATAGTCTGCTATATTTTTATAGGGTGAACTATAGTTTGCTTGATTAATTTTTTCTTCGGTTTCGCAGACGGCGACGACGAGTCGTCCCCGACAACACTCAAAGGCCGAAGGCGGCAACAGGGACAAGATTTATTTAGGGACGAGGAAGATGATAACATCCCTCGATTTTCTGCAATTACCGACTTTGATTCTCCGATTGGTATTCCTCCACGCCTCTGTTATGGATGCTTTTTTGTTTTTTTTTTTCAACTCGATGTTTACGTAATGCGATTATCGTCTAATAGAGCTACGCTCAGCGGAAGACAAAAAGCCTGTCCAGGTAGACGGTCGACCTCGCCTCCGTACAGTCTCGCCGAAGGAAAACAGTAAAGATCAAGGTGACAATATTCCCCAGTCTAAAGAAGCGACCGACTTGAATACCCACAGTAAGCACGCTTTGTTTATTTTTCATCGCCCCCCCCCCCCCCCGGGGGCAGTATTCATGTACATCACAAGAAACTGAAGTGACTTGTGTGAATTTCAGGAGGGGAAAATAAGACGAAGGTCAAAATGGAAGGCCGGCGTCGCCTATGCAAGGTGTCATATGCAGACAGTGATAATGCTGATAAAATGGCGGCGCTTGATGACTCGGAGGTTTCTGACCTTGTGGATTTTGATTCACCCCCTTTGCCGACAAAAAATGCAACGGGCGTTGAGAAGAGTCAGGGTAGGAGTGAAATTAGGGATATATTAGATGAGTTGAGCTCGAGGTTTGATATTCTGTCAGTAGATAAGAAGCGGGGAGCGAAATCAGCGCATACATTTGAAAATTGTTCATCATTGGTTATAGGAAATGAAAATACGGAAGATAAGAATATTGATTATGCCAGTGCAGATTCTTCATTTTCAGCTCAGCAGGACCCATGCGACAGTTCATCCGATGCATCTAAGAGTGCTACTGGAGGCATTGACATTGAACATGTAGAAGATGATTTGGACGACTCTATTGAAGTGCTGGATCATTTTGACTCTGAGAATGTTAATTCTATGACTTTTAATGGTCCCCATTTCGCACACGAGTTACCAGATTCTTCATTTTCAGCTCAGCAGGACCCATGTGACAGTTCATCCGATGCATCTAAGAGTGCTACTGGAGGCATTGACATTGAACATGTAGAAGATGATTTGGACGACTCTATTGAAGTGCTGGATCATTTTGACTCTGAGAATGCTAATTCTATAACTTTTAATGGTCCCCATTTCACATACGAGTTACCAGGAAAAATTGCCAAAATGTTGTATCCACATCAGCGTGATGGCTTGAAGTGGCTTTGGTGTCTGCATTGTCAGGGTAAGGGTGGAATCCTGGGGGATGACATGGGTCTAGGGAAAACAATGCAGGTAAGTAATGAACAGTGGGCAATTGTTTTGCAATATCTGTAGTACATAGCATATGAATATCGGGTTCCTCTTGCAGATTTGTAGTTTTCTAGCTGGTTTATTCAATTCACGTTTGATTAAAAGGGCATTGGTGGTGGCACCAAAAACCTTACTTCCCCATTGGATCAAAGAATTATCTATTGTCGGTCTTTCTGAGAAGACAAGGGAGTGCGTCTGATTCTATTTATTTATTTAAATTTATATACTTGCACAGGCACATTTATGTTTCTGATATTGCAAATTCACCAACTTGTATTTGCTGCAGATACTTTGGAACTTGTACTAAAGCCCGAGAGTATGAACTTCAATACATACTCCAGGTATTGGTTATAGCTTATTCTACTTATTCAACTGCAAGTTATAATATACAGCAAATTAAATTTATACTCCTGCATTACGAGTTTTAATAGGTAGGAGAAGGAAAGGAAACGTTTTACTTGTCAAGATGAGCTTCATATTTGGAAATTGTGGATGTTTGTGGTCGCAATGTATTTTCATTTTTAAAAGATTCGTTGTGGTTCTTATGTAGTAGTTTGAACTTTAATGTTTTTATTTGATTCTGGAAAATCTTATTCATGTTAATGTACAATATTATACTACTACTACTATTTTACAAATTTGATGCCATCAGTCTCGTTTGCTTGTACCCATATAGGATAAAGGTGTTCTTCTTACAACATACGATATTGTTCGCAATAATTCTAAATCATTACGGGGGAATTATCTATCTGATGATGAGGAAAATGAAGACGGCCCCATATGGGATTATATGATACTTGATGAGGTAAGAATGATTTTGAGGCCCATCTAATGTCTAGTTTTCATAATTTAGGTTTGACTTTTATTATGCATCATTGCATCCTCTTTTCGTGTACATGGTTCTATTTATCCCTAGACACGTTTGACTGAGTATTTAATTCTGGATTTTGGAGGCTTATCTCTCATTTTGTAATGAAATGAGGTAAACTTAGGTTTCTTTTGGGCAAAAAGTTGTCATAAGAATATTACTTTTTGCATATAAGGTATGGAAGGCTCAGTTTGTGGTGGTTACCGTCTGCCTTAAAGTCCGCCGTCTATTTTCTTTAACTCTAAATTTTAGCAAATATAACTTTGCAGATTGTACGTATCTGATAGAGCCCTCAACTCTAATAAGCTTATAACAAGCAAAATCTAGAAATGACAACGAGCAACATGGGACTGATAATATTTTTACTGAATATTATAAGTTGAATTTCGCGGGAAATAATGATTCAAACCAATCCCATCTCCCTCATACACCCATAGACAGACATTACAATCAAACAACAGTTACAGAGTACAAGGAAAAGCCACTAAACTTTCAAGAGGCCAGTACTCTCCCAATCTCTCTTCACTAACCAAAAGGCTACACTCGCTCCTCTCTGTCTGAAAGCGGGGATATAAAACAGGAGTTACAGCACACTGCTTACACTCTGGCTGCACCTAAAACCTGCTTATTAACCCCTTCTTTACCCTCACGGCCTGTAGCCTCAGTGTAATCCTCTTGACTGCTGATATTTCCCTTTTTCACATCATTTCCCTTAATCTTCTGCTGTAGGTCCTGGGAAATGATTTATAAATCTTTTGTGAATCTCCAGCTCTATCAGTATCATAAATAATTTAAGGCTTAAATTTTTGTTGATCAAATTGCTTTGATCCTTAGGGCCATCTTATAAAGAATCCCAGCACACAAAGAGCTAAAAGTTTGCTACAGATACCAAGTGCCCATCGCATAATCATCAGTGGCACGCCATTGCAAAATAATCTTAAGGTATTTCTTGAAGATTAGTTTTGTTTTCTAATTGATGTGTTTGAATATAGTATCTGTTTTTGGTTCTTGTGATTTTACTGTATACTATGCTAACCTGTTGTGTGATTCTCATTCTTAAACTTTCAAACAGGAGCTGTGGGCCTTGTTCAATTTCTGCTGCCCTGAGTTGCTGGGTGATAAACAATGGTATTAATCTTTTTCATGCTGCATTATGATGCTACTAACTTTCTCATTGTCATTGGTTTAACTTGAAATTTTACTACGTCAGGTTTAAAGAAAATTTCGAGTCAGCTATACTTCGTGGAAGTGACAAAAGAGCTTCTGAGAGAGAGAAGCGTGTTGGTTCTTCAGTTGCAAAGGTAATATATTTGTGCTCCAAAATTTGATTTGTGATGGTTTAGGTTGAGTCTTTGATTCTATTGTTCCAATATTATGACTAACAGTAAAAAATATTACCATTACCAATAATTTGAATAACATGTTTAAATATCCTTTGGATTTTCCCTCTTAAATACCCTACCCTTCTTTCTTTGTCTTTTTTCTATTTGATTATTAAATTTATTTTTTTTTCCTTTTTTTTAATGGTATCTAATTTAATTGTATGCTTTAAATTGCAAGAAAGTACTATTAGAGTATGTTAACTTCGTGATCTCTCTTGATTAAACATCTAACTTGTATCTTCGTTGATTTTATGAGCTGGTTGCAATGTCTAATGGTAGTACCTTTGCACTTATTAAATATGTTTGCTTTATGAGTTCTTTTCTATCCTTTCTTTGATTTTGCCTTTCATACAATGTATTTCCTTTGTGTACTTGCATCTCATGTATCGCGTGTTTGCTTCTCATCCCTTTATCAATTTTCAATCAATCAATTGAAATCAAATTTCTTATAATGAGCCAAGTGAGATAATTCATTGTTTCTTATCAGATGCTCAGAGACCGTATTCAGCCATACTTTTTAAGACGCCTAAAGAGTGAGGTTTTTAATCAAGATGACAAGGATACAACAACGAAACTCTCTCGGAAAAGAGAGATTATCGTGTGGTTACGATTGACTAGTATTCAGGTTAGATGCAATTTTATGTGTTTCTTATTGTAAAAGACACAAGATTAGATTGGGGGAAAAAAAAAAGAAAAAGAAAAGCTGATAGTCTGTTTCCTGCCTCATGTAGAGATATCTTTATGAAGCGTTTCTAAAGAGTGAGATTGTTCTTTCAGCATTTGACGGCTCACCTCTTGCTGCACTTACGGTGAATTTTATTGTTATAATATTTAATATACTTCCCTTCTTAATAGTGTTCTAACCTTTGTAGTTGTGCTTTTCACATGTTATAATTTTTTACTAAAATTTTGTTTTATCAAATGTCTTTCCTTTTTAAACTAATTATAAAAACTATTTGCTTGAATGAGCTAGATTTTGAAGAAAATTTGTGATCATCCGCTTTTGTTGACCAAGCGGGCTGCTGAAGATGTGTTGGAAGGGATGGACTCAATGCTAAAGCCAGAAGAGGTTAACATTGCAGAGAAACTGGCAATGCACATAGCTGATGTTGCCGACACAGACAAGTTCAAGGCTGAGCATGATGTCTCGTGCAAAATATCTTTCATAATGTCATTACTGGTGTGTACTATTCAAGAACTTGATATTTTAGCATATTATTGTTCGTACTTAATATAATGTATATATTATGTGGTATTTTTAGGATAATTTGATCCCCCAAGGACATCATGTGCTTATTTTTTCTCAAACGCGCAAGATGCTTAATCTTATTCAGGTTAGTTCAGAATTTTTGTTTTTCTATGTTTATTACAATTGATTCTCCATGAACACTAGAAGAGACCGGGTTATAGGGCATTGCCGTAATTTGAACTTACTAAGGCAGTCGTTACTAATATACTTTATATCAGTTACGTAAAATTTTTTTTGTTATGACTTGGAGTTGATAGGATGCCACTGACTGTTGTTACTTATAACAGGTGAAAGATGGAAGCTAGAATGGAAAATATTGTTGGTGTGGGATTGGTTATGCCTAATAATGGAAATCATGAAGTTATTTCTATTATATTAGCTCCTTGATGTGTTCTGTCAGTCTTATATTTGTTGTTAGATCAGTCTTTTATGTGTACTTGTCCTTGTCTGTACTAGTCTGTAAAAGTGCATACACATGTATTTGAAGTTATGAGTGATATTGCTTATGTTTCATGGAGATTCTCATAGCAGCAGAGGAATAATATAGTGTAGATCCTGGCTCAAGTTTTCTAAAGGCTTCTTTTCCGTGCCTTCTAAACCTTCGGAATCAATCAGAAATTTCTAATGTTTTTGCACCATTATTTTATTTTACTCTTTAGTTAATTTAAAGCTGACTAATATTTCTTACAGGAATCTATAACGTCCAAAGGTTATGAATTTGTACGAATTGATGGAACAACAAAAGCTACTGATAGAATAAGGATTGTTAATGTAAGTATTTTGTATTGTGACATAAAAATAATTTCTTCCAAAATCTTATTTGTTTTATTTTTTAAATATAAAATTTTTAATGTCAGGATTTCCAAGATGGTTCGGCAGCTCCCATATTTCTTTTGACATCTCAAGTTGGTGGTTTGGGGCTGACACTTACTAAGGCAGATCGTGTGATTGTGGTTGATCCTGCTTGGAACCCAAGGTGTTTTAAGAATTTCTTTCTCCAACTTCTGATTGTTAATATTTCCCGTGAATATGATTAATAGAACTTCATTTTAATTAATTATTCAATAAAATGGTGGAAGATGTTGCTTAATGGAGTATTGTAGGAGAGTTTTCATAGTTTTTAGTTCATAGAATGCTTTACTCCTGTACACAAGTTTTATGATTTTGTTTCTACCAAAGTAGTATTTAAAAACTGGGTGGGTTTTTCACGTCCTGAATTCTTTCACAAGGTTAAAAGAATGGAACCTGTTTTAGTTTGATGAAGGTTTTGTGAAATATTGAATTATTCATTGCTACTGCTACCTTGGTTCTATGTAACATTAAAAGTAGCTTAATAAATAGAACTAGATATTAGGCTCATATTGTGTAGAGTTTGAAAATGAGCTGTACTGTTTATGATTTGTGAATAGTACAGCTGGTTATAGACTTTTTTCATAGACAAAGACATGATTTTTGTGTAAAATGTATGGAATTTGAGAAACGAACATAGTTCATGACTTGCGAATTGTATAGCTTGTTAGATTTTAATATTGATATATTAACAAAGCTAGATCTATCTCTTTACTCCACTATGACTATTGTACGTTTGACTGTACTCTTTAGTTTTGCTTTAAGTTTGTATTCTAATTTCTAGAAATTATCTGTCTATTTGATCAAAAGTCATCCCCTCCCCCCTCATTTTGTGATGATTTGTTTAGTATGCTTGTTCTATCTATTATTGTAACTGTTTGGATGGAATTTGTGAATACATTGGGCTTTGAAATGATTGCTTTGCCCTAATCTACATATTGTACTTTCCTAGAAAAAGTACATCAAAATGATGCTTTCAATTTCTAATAATAGTTGTTTCAATGTATTTCTTGGCAGTACGGATAACCAAAGCGTTGACCGTGCATATCGTATTGGCCAAAAGAAAGATGTTCTTGTATATAGACTAATGACATGTGGAACTGTTGAAGAAAAGATATACAGGAAGCAGGTAAATTTCGACATTAATACTTGACGTGCCCATTGTGAATCTGATGTAATAAAGGAGACAGAAAACTTTATATTACTGCGGATTTTGTTCGAGTGAGTTTCATTTGTTTGTAACTCTTGTTTAGATTGTGATTAAACCCATGAGACTGGAATGACGTGATTTTCAGGTATACAAGGGGGGATTGTTTAAAACAGCAACAGAACATAAAGAACAAATCCGGTACTTCAGCCAGCAGGTATAGGTGTTTTAAGAGTATTACTTGTTTCTAAGATAAGTTGGCAACATCTTTGACGAGCGTGTGATGCAATGTAGTAATTTTTCATTAATCTTTTTCAGGATCTCAGAGAGCTTTTCAGCCTCCCTAAGGACGGTTTTGATGTGTCTGTTACTCAGAAGCAATTAGAAGAGGAGCATGCTTGCGAAGATACAGTGTGAGCTTGAAATCTAAGGCTAATTGCGAACCAATAGAATGCACACTTCTCTTTTAATTGTTAAACCTTCCAAATGCTTCTGTCTTTTCATGCGTGGTTCATGGATTACTGATGTTTTGCTGCTTCACTCTGTTAATGCTGCTTGAACCTTAGTGTGCGATTCTTTTCAGCCCATTTATATGTATGAATAGATGAGATAGATTAGGTGCTTTGTGTGTATTATTAAGTTAAATGAAAGCTAATAATAAGTTGAACTTATATTTTTTAACAGCCTATTTGGTGTTTCGATGAATGGGACAAAAATAACTCATAATTGCTTGTAATTTTCTGATTTTTGACTTATTATTTGTGTTTTTTAGGGATGACTCTTTCAAAGCACACATAGAGTTCTTGAAAAGTCAAGGCATAGCTGGAGTTAGTCACCACAGTTTACTTTTCTCCAAGACAGCACCAGTTCAAGATGCACCTGAGGATGATAAAGTGTCAAGGTAACAACAGTTCACGGTTAGGATTTTTTTTCCATTTTCCATATGGTCCTTTCACCCGAGATGCGGTGTTGAAATCTTCCTAATGCACCTGGATGTCACAATTTCATTTTGCTTTATGGATTATGGATCATGTATTGTGAAGTTCATAATGTGGTTTTTGTTATGTTCTTTTTTTTTCCTCGTCATGAGGACAATACTTAGTTTAGGCTAGTTTAGCTTTCTAGACTGGATACAATGGTGATTGTATGGGAATTATTTTTCTCCCTGATTAATAAAATCATAAGTTCTGGTTGAAAAAAGTATTAACCAATTGATTAGCTAAACCAATACTACATTTGTCCCCTTTGTTTTTTTGTAGGAATCATGGGACTAGATATGTTGGAACTTCAACATCTACTTCCCTTGAACGTCCTGTAGATGGGTAATGATATTATCATTTTATGGATATTATATTTATCACACCCTTACCACAATCTTTTTTTTTTTTTTAATTTATGATATGATGTTAATTTTTTTTTATTTGGCCAGAGCTGAGTTTGCTTTTAATCCAAAGGAAGTAAAATTGAGCCAAAAAGGTTCTTCCCCCGATAGTGCTGGTAAATTGACAGGGTCTGAAATTAGGGATAAAATCAGACGGATTTCTCAAACACTTGCAAATAAGGTATTGTTATGTTCTTAAAAAGTCAGCAGTTTAGTTTGACAACAATGTTAGTTTAGTGAAAATTGGTTGTGGCTCATTGGAGCATCATATTTGGAATATTAGCAAACCATTATAAGCTTTACAATAAAATAGTTGCTAACTGATGCTTCCCTCATCCTGTATATGCCATTGCAGGTGATGATTTCTAGATTACCTGATAAGGGAGAAAAACTACAACAGCGGCTTGCTGAACTAAATTCTGAGCTCAGTAAATTAAAGATAGAAGAAAGAAATGTGATTGATTTGGATGACATAAGCGAAGAATTTCAAAGGGTAGTAAATGTATAAATTATTGTTAAGAGAATTTAAAATTAAATAGATCGAATTGTTATGGTTGCCTTGTGGATGAGAATGGCCAATACTAGTTTTATTTGGCAATATATTTTGTTAAAGGTGATGAATTTCTTGGTCACCTTATAAAACATGTTTATTGGCATATTTTGATGCCTACATGTAAAGATTTTAATATGCTTCTTTTTAACTAGGATGCCATATAAGGCTAATTATTTTGTGAAACATTTACATGTAAGATTTAAAAAAATTAATACGCAAACCTTTTCCTCATTAATAGATATTTGTAGCTTTCTCAATTATAGGTATTGGTTTTTATTCTCACAATTTGTTAATTTGTGAAAAATAACATTAGTAGTTGATGATTTGTCTCACGTACACTTGGATTAGTTGTCACATGAATATAGATAAAATAAAAATCAACTAGATTTATTTCAAGTGAATTATGATAAATGTTATTACGAAGCCCAAGAAAGATGTTAGAGGATAGATGCTTTAAAGGGATTGGGGATTTCCCAAAAAACATATACAAAAAGCGTAAATATCAACAAGTTTGAAACATGTAAATAATTATAGTTATAGCTGCCCAAGACAATGATGATTTCAACTAGGGCTGGTAATATAAGTCAACTCGCGGGTTGTGGGTTGGCTCATGGTAGGTTGAACCCGTATGGGTTGGGTTGAAACAACCCGTTTGAAGGTGGGTTGACTAAAAACCCGTCAAAGTGGGTTGGCAGGTTGGCCCGCTAACCCTTTTTTTGTGGATTTTTATTTAACTTTTTAATATTTTTTTATATAATATTAAAAAAAATATATATTTTTTTTTGAAATATTTGATTGAAAGCACCAAATAAATTATATAGATATTTTTTTATTTTTTAAATAGGATATAATATATAATTATATAATTATAATAATTAAAAATTTTGAAAAAAAAATGCAGGTTAGTAACTCATGACGGGTTCAAAAGGCTCATTTACTGCTAGGTTGACTTTTAGCCAATCTTAACCTGTTATTTTTGGGGGGTTGGACCTACAGGTTCAACTCATATTACTAGTTCTAATTTCAACACCACATGCTGTGTAGACTAAACTTTAAAGGATTTTAAATGGTTAACAAAAATAGAAATTACGTAGTTATCACTAATTCTTTAAACTTTTTTTTTTTTGAGTACACGGACAAGCTGCGCTTGAGCAAAAGTCAGCTAGTTAAAACATATCCCTTCCCTATTTATCTCTGCTAGAGTCCTGCGGCATTCAGCAATGTCAATATAGAGCTCCATCTAATCTTCAGCTAAGTGGCCATGCCTTGCCAGCGCATCTACAGATTGGAGTGACTTGCGAGCCGCATACGCAAGCTTCATATTCCAGTCTTCGTAGATGAGCTTCCTTGTCTCCTCAATCTCTCGTCTAAACGGGTGATTAATCCCACTATCTCGCAGTAGAGTGCCAATTGCTTCCAGTGAGTCTGAGTGTACTTGGGCGTCATTGATGTTTAGTTGTTTATGTGACAGCCGTTCTTTTAAAATTATTTTAGATTAAATTTAACAATTTATTTAAAAGATTAACCATAATAAAAAAAAGGAAACCTTAAAATTTTAAAATCGTTATCATGGTTAAAAGAAATAAACCTATATCATGAGCAACTTCGATTATTAACTTGGGTTTTGGATTTCTAAAATCTAAAAATATCATTCAATCATTAGCCCTCCAGACTCATATTTTCAAACAATTCATTTTAATACAAACGATGGAACCCACTAATCAAAAGTCAATACTTTTAAAATAGCGTAGCACGCAAAGTCTTAAAGATCTCTGGCCTTCTAACCGCCCTCATATTAGATGGTAGTAATTAAAAGTACTAGTTTACAGTATTAGAATATGTGGGTCCTATGTGGTAATATATAACAAATCAGCACATAGAACAAAAGTCGGGAGGCTATACAAGCTACAACAGCACATTATGCCTCCGGAGCCTTTCTTGATGAGCCACCACCTGAACTATCACCTGAAGATAGTAAAAAACCACAAGATGAGACAAACGTCTCAATAACTAAATTTCCAACTCATCATACATACTAACACATGCTCATGAGATGTCAAGTGGGACGGTTAATAATTCTCGAGAAATATAAATATATCCATAGAAATATAATTTCAATCATCCAAACCCTCACTATGGGGGCTAACACACAAGCCACATAAGTCTATCTGTCACTATGGGGAATCAATCAGACATATAGGCCTATCCCTTACTTTGGGGGATGAATAAGAAGCCACAAAGGCTTATTCCTTACTATAGGGGAAGAAGAAACCAACCAATGTACACCAACGGCGACCTTACCACATGGTAGGATCGGGCTCAATTTAAAATCTAAATAACAACCAATCATTCACAATATAATAAAAATGTCTCAATCTTTTCTCAGTATAATTCATAAGATATAAATCATATATTTTTCCAAACTTCTCAATCACAATTCTAAAAATTTTACAAGACAATTTTCATAGCTCAAAAAATATAACATATCTACTCAAGCTCCAAATAACATATCATTATTCTAAAATAGTAAAATACTCACAAACAACATATTAGCACATGTAACAAGTGGAAAGTGATTACTTTTCACCAAAGCAATAAAAAGGTTACCACAAGGTTAATCCTTTGCTCAACAAATAATTAATCTACACAATTAATATAACCACATGTTAATATAAGATAATTAATTAATTAATTAATTAAGCTTATATATTATTTAAATTTCTAATTTAATTTAATTTTTATCTTCTGAATTCCTACAACTCTCCTAATCCAAAAATTAAGTATTTTAGAAATAATTTAAAATTTTCTAACAAGCCAAATTATTTTTTACGACCTCCAAATTATTTACTTTAATAAAAAGAATTTTATTAAATTTCTGAATATGAAATTATTATATTCTAAATTCTAAAAATCTCATTTGAAATTTAAATCTCAAAACTGAATCATTAAAAACCTCAATTATTTATAAATAAATAATCTAATAAATTTTTAATGTTATAACTCTCATAGATATATATTTATTTATTTATTTCCATAAATAATCAAATATTTAGCTAAAATAATTATTTTAAAACCTCTAATTTTCCAATAAATAAAACTAAATTGATTAAAATCTCAGTAATATGTCAATAAACCCAAATAAATTAGTTAACTTAAATTTAATTAGTAAAAATATAATATATATATAATATATAACAGATTTTTTCAACTAGAAAAATTAATTTAAGCACTAAAAACCAACAAATGGACAAATCTAACTGATTAAAATTAACAGCTGATTTATCTCTAAATTTCTGTAGTTATCTATTGCCAAAACTCAAAACTTATCCCTCATATACGTCTCAAAATTTTCTCTAATTACTACAGTAATACTGTCAATAAGAAGCTTAAAATATATAAAATAAAATATTTATAAAGAAAGTTTGATAAAAGGAAGTATATTTGTGTACCTATATTATCTTCAAGGCTTGCTCTTTCTTTCAAAATGATCTCAGCTCTGCTCGTTCTCTCCTGCACTCTTTCTCTCTTTTCCTCTCTCTCACGCCCCATCATGCCTCCTACTATCTCTTTTACCGTTCATTTTCCCAACTGCCTTGCTCAATTTTCTTCCTTCATTTAATTCTTCTCCCTAAAGTCCTCCTTCTTCTTTCAATATTTCAACTTTCCACCGAATTCGGTGGAAAGTTGTTACCTTTTTTTTCTTTTTTTTTTTCAAATATTAAAATATTATTATTTTATTATAATAATAAATATTATTATATTATTTATTATTTTTTTAAAAAATTCTAAAATAAAATTTAGGATGTTACAGTTTACATACCCCCATCCCAGTTTTGATGGCAAGGATTTCAGCAGCTATAACCGGATAGACTCCAAGCTTTTTTGCAAATCCCATAATCCAGTTTCCTTGGTGATCACAGATGACCCCCCCCACAAGCTGCCTGTTGATTTTCTTAGACAGATGCATCCACATCCACTCTAACTTCGCCAGCCGGTGGAGTAGTCCAGTGTTTAGTTGTATTTCGGCAGCCTGTGAAGATTTGATGGCAAAGCTTTGCTTTCGAGATATCTTCCATGATATGAAACAAACATTGGTGATAAACTTCAGAACCCGTCTTGTTAACTCCTTGGAATAGCTAGTTACATCGTGCTTTTCTAGATGAGCCAACATAAGTGTCCAAAAATCTTTGTCCACGGCCACTATTGAAACTGCTCCTTCGCAGGGTTATTCTTCATGTTCCAGTTGATCCATTCCTGCAAATCATGAGAGAAAAAGACTACTAGATGGTTAGAGTGAATAAATTTTTTCCACACTTCTCTCGCTCTTTTACAGTCTCTCAAAGTATGTGTTATGCTCTCCTCACACAAACACCCAAAAGGGCATAAATTTGACTCTCCAATTCCTCTCTCGGCTCTAAGTGAATTGGTTGTAAGTCTCCCATGAGCTGTCTGCCAGAGGAAGCACTTGATTTTTTCAGGCACTTGCCAACACCATATACCTTTCCACACTGAGCTCCCAGTGTTGTTAGCCGGCTCAGATAGGAATTTGTAAGTTGCTTTTACAATGAACCGACCATCTTGAGCACTTGCTTTTACAGATAGGAATTTGTAAACTTTTTAAAATAAACTTTTGACATATTACCAATTTCCCCACAATCATGTTTTGATCTCTAATTTTTGTTTCATTCACTTTAACTTGTTATGGTATATCAATATACTTTGGGTTTTAAATTTATTTTTCAAGAACTTTTATCATGGTTAACCTTTTAATTGAGTTAATTATCATAAAAAAGTTTGAATAATTAATAACAACCCACACTAATTTGTTATGTAAGAAAAATGTCTATTTTACAAAAGTTAAATCCATCAAAACTTAGCTAACTTTATCCTATAGTAGATAAGATCAGAAGCTATTAGAAGAACCTTTGGTATGTTTACTCTATTTGATGTGTCAAACCAATAACCATACTCAAGAGATCCTAAAGATAAGTTTTGATACATGAAATAGCTTGTTTGAAATCACAAGTATCAGAAGTATTCTACTAATATACTCCGTACACTGGTGATAACTCTCAACAAGTATGACATGGTGTTACCAATCAGTGAATCAATGCTCCAAATCACAAAATTATTTAAAAAGTCAAGTCTCTGATACCATTAGTTAGAGACTGGCTTTAATACAAAAATGTTATAGAACCGTAAAGAGAGAAGAGAGACTAGAATATGTACTTCTTTTTCAACTCAGAATGATGTACATACGCAATATTTATACATGCTATTCATTTAATAGAATTAGTTATATGCTAATAGAAGTACACATATGTAATTTAGTAAATTTTCTTGACCTACATATCAGTTATGCACCACATATAATTGAAATATGAGAAAAATTCTTTATTAAATAGGCTTTTTTATAGATGATTGTGTTACCATTAACCAATTGCTTAGTTAAACCAATGCTCCATTAGTCCTTTTTTCTAGTAGGAATCATGGGCAAAATATGTTGGAACTTTAACAATCAACTTTCATTGAACACCTTATTGATGGGTAATGATGCTATCATCACATGGTTATCAGATTTATCCTACCCTAACCCAACATTTTTTCTTTTGATTTATGATATAGCCTTTTTTTTTTTATTTAGTAAGAGCTGAATTTTTTTTTAATCCAAAAGAATTTAAATTAAACCGAAAAAGGGGTTCTTTTCAAGTAGTGCTATTAAATTGACCAAGTATAAAATCAAGGATAAAATCGAACAAATATCTCAAATACTCACAAATAAGGTATTTTTATGTTCTTAAAAAGCCAACAACCTAGTGTAACAACCGATGGCAGTTTAGTGAGAATTGGCTATTGCTTAATCTAGCTTCATATATAAAATATCGGCAAACAATTATTAGCTTTACAATGAAATAGTTAATACTTTGTGCTTCCCTCCTTTTGTATATGCTAATGCAAGCGATGATTTTCAGATTACTTGAGCGAAGAAAAACTATATCGGTGGCTTGCTAAAATAAATTGGGAGCCAGCAAGTTGAAGATGGAAGAAAGAAATGCGATTGATTTGGATGATATAATCATATAGACGAAGAATTTTAAAGGATATTAAATATGTAGATCATTGTTAAGAGAACCTGAAATTAAATGCATAGAGCTATTAAGACTGCATTATGGACTGATGAATTTGGCAATGTATTTCCCAAAGGCCATGAATTTCTTAGTCACCTTATAAAACATACTTATTTTAATGTTCAAGTGTAATTTTTTTTAGCTGGGATGTTATGTGATACTGATTATTTCTTGAAACACATCCATGTAAGATTTAGAGTAACATATGCTGATTTCCACTTTATTTTATCTTAATTACATATGCCTTTTTAACCTATATGGAACTCTTTTGAAAATCCATATTTGCATAACAAAAATCTCTCTCTCTCTCTCTCTTTTATGAAATACGAAACCTAAACAAAAATCTCGTTTTTACTTTTAAGATTTTATTTCCATTCATTGAACAATTAGTTAATTATTAAATCCCATATTTTGCATCAAAATATCTCTCCTTAAACAAAGATATTTGAAAATCATTTAGGTTGCTTAAAACATTTAATGCAAGTAATTTAATTTTTTAAAATCATATTTTAGTAATCTAAACTTATTTAGTAACTTTTTAGAGTTTTAATACATGGGTTGGCTAATATAATATTTCAAACATGTAAGTAGAAGGAATTAACGACTTAAGCATTTAATGTGGTAAGGGATATATTAGTCAATATGACAATAACTCAATATAGTTTATGTTTATTTTTCCTTGAAGTTTTATTATTTCTAATATATTCAAGGTCAAAAAATTATTTCTAATATATTATTTTGGTAAATTATTTAGGGAGAATCCCGATTAAATAAAATTAAAATACTTAAATTCAAATTGAGACTTATGCTTTTAACAAACTACTAATTAGGCTATGACGTCTCATTAAAAAATTTTAAATGTTGTTAAATGACCAGAATGCTTCTATTTAGTTAAAAAATACTAATTGTTTTACCCCTCCTAAATGGTTACTCTTTTCTCTTATGATTATTTTTTGGGACCAAAAACACATAAATAATTTTGTAATGTTTGAATTTTGTATATATAACTAAACCCTTACAAAAATTTTAATCAAATATTTTAAATTACAATATAAGTACTCTTTAAATAAATATTTTATATTTTCAGGTTGTAAATATTTATTTTTTAAATATTTTTAAATATCTTAATAAAAAATATTTTATATTAAGTGCGAAATTATGTTTTTGGGCTGGAATCCAATATTTTCTTAAATAAATAAAACTAATGTAAATTATAACAACATAATATTAAGTATTTTTTGTAATTAAACAATTTTAAAATCTTAAAATAAATATTTGCAAACATAAAATAAAATATATTTATTTTAAGGTTATTTATGTTCAAATTTAAAATTTTTTATTAAAATATTTTCAAATATTTGAGTTATATATATACAAGTTTTAAACACTATAAAATTTTTTGTGTTTTTTGGTCTTAAAAATAATCATAAGAGGTGAAGGATCACTTGGGAGAATAAAATAATGAATTTTTTATTTTAATTAAAGAGAGACATTCTGGTCACTTAACAACATTTACAAATTCTAAATTAGTACTCTTGTCATAATTAAGGATTTATTAAAAGTGTATGCCTTAATTTGTATTTAGGTATTTCAACTGAGTTTTATTGGAATTTTCCTAATTATTTATGATTAGGAAAATTGAAATAAATATTTATGATTAACGATATTAAAAATTGAAATAAATTGCAGGTTTTGAAAACGTAAAAATCTTTATAATTTTGGCAAAACGAAAGGGAGGACAGTAAAGGACACCATTCTAAATTTAAAAAAGGTAAATGCGTACCCCTAAACATTAATTTGATATAATATTTTTTTTTTAATTTTATAAAGTATTTTAGTTTTTACGGACATCAAAAAATTTTAAATGTTGAAAATATATTCTCAAATGCTGTCATAATAAATTTAATTTGTAAAATAACAATAATTGTTATGAAAAAATATCGTTTAAGACTAATGATGTTATGATGAGAAGACTGAAAAAAATACTTTAAAAATTAGGGACCAAATTCAAACTTTGTGTAATGTTATATGATTAAACGTGCACTTACGCCTGTATTATGTTCGGGTATTTCCGGGCTCAACCTCTCTTCCGTGTTTCCCAAAAAATGGATACTTGTAAAGGGGGGAAATCCGGCCACGGTTTCTCAAGAAAAATAGCGAAAAGGCCCGATAGCCACAAGTTGGGAACATATGCAGGACTGCACAACTGTGACTGCCCATGACGCCATGATGGCTTCAACACCTAGTTCTACGTGTACTAAATTCCGAACGGTTCTGAACACTTAATAATGGAAAATTTACGAAAAGACTTTTTTAAAAAAAAAATTTTGCGAGGAAATTATTATTTCTTTTGACTTTTTTAAATAAATATTCAGCTTATTACCAATCTCCTTGTCATGTTTAGATTTCTAATTACTGTACTCCAGTTCATTAGGGTTATTTTTAGACCCATGGGCTTTAACCTATTGATTGAGTTAATTATCATAAACCTCCGATTCTAAATATAAAACTCATATATACACTATAAAATGAGTCTTATATTTAGGAATGGATAAGTAATTGTATAATAATCATAACAAGCTAACCTAATTTGTCAAGTGGGAAACACATCTGTTCTGTTGAAAAAAGAATTTAACGGTTCTACCTTTTTTAAAAGGAAAAAAAACTGCTGTTATTGTTATTAAACAAATCTGATTTTTTTTAAAGTAAAAACAAATTTGATATTAAATGACTTGAGATCATGCTTACAGTTTCTCTCTCACGTGCTTTTGTAATCCTAACTAGAACATGATGCATTTGACCTCAATCATGTGAATGTCTGTGCAGGTGCAATTTCTCGATCCATACCAATTTTATCAACATTCTGTGCACTCAATACATGATAATCAATTAAGGAAAATGTCATAACGGAATAAAAGGGCTGCGCTTTCTCGTACCTTCGTTGAGAAGCTTTAAACCATTAAAAAAAAAAAAAAAGGACTAATGGCTGTTAAAAAAACAAAAATGAAAATGAAAAATGGCATGCCACATCTGAGGAGACCAAGGATATATGGACGTTAAACCAAGATGCAAATAAAGATCTACCCTACAGGAATATATACTCTTTCATTGTTCTCAACTCTCAAGTGGCCTACAAAATAGGCCGTTGAAACTTGGGGTTGGAATACGATTCCAAAGCTTTCATGAGACGTGGGAATGGACTCATTAACCCATCTCGTAGAAATAGCTAGAAAGTCAAGGAGGGGGCTAACCTCTTATTGGACCTCTCTTCCAAGACCCAGTCAGCGTCGCCGCAGAGTCTCTTAGAATCTAAACTAAGGGAAAGACAAGGGATAATATGAAAGTATAGAAAGAAATAGCCGCTATAAGTTAGCACTACCACGAATTGCTTAATCAAAACTTGACGAGCGACTCCATCTTCCTTGTAGATAGTCCTCTAATGAGACGCTCTGCTCAGAGCTACTTACAGAAACCGTATCATCGTCCAGGTCCAGCAAAGCAAGGTTCAGGTGGGACTGAATATTATTCAGTCCCCCATCGAGCGCATCAAGTTCTTCTGGTGCACCAACTTCTTGTTTTGCCCAACTTGTGACTTCATCATCACCATGCAGAAGTTTCAATATCTGACTCGAGAAAAATCATCAAACTTCAACTTCATGGCCAAAAACAAAAGGCACGAAATTAAGAATGAGGTAGATTTGAACAGAGGAGACTCACGACGCTGATTTGAGGTCGAGATTTAGGTGATCGTCTGAGGCAAAGGGTAGCAGCCAAACCCATTCTGTCAATCAGCCAATGTTCAGGATCGCCAAGGCTTGAATCAAGCAACTGGGAGAGCTTTCCATCCTTTAGAACTGGTCTTGCCTAAATATTGTCACAATTCACATTCCTTTTCAACACTTTGATACATTAAGACCAGGTGTCAAAGGATATTCAATTATTATTTTGGTAGACGTTGCATTTATTTTATTTTAGGTCACAGTTTATATGCTGAGTCTATAACAAAGGAGAAAAGCTTACCCACATCACAAGGCTCTCCTGGCCCTTAGGGGATTCGTTATTGATGGGCTTCCTGCTAGAAAGAAGCTCAAGAAGCACAACACCAAAAGCATATACATCAATTCTGTCAGTTACCCTACCATGCATAAAGTACTCTGGAGCCAAGTATCTGCCAGAAAAGAAAATGTTCAGAACCATAAAACATTTAAAGTTGATCGGTCCATAGAGAATTCAGAGGACATCATACACACCCAAAGGTTCCTGCCACATCAGTACAAGTAACATGGGATGAAGAAGAACCCCAGCTGGCCAGTCCAAAATCGGAGAGCTGAGAACAAATGACACACGGATTATAGAACAAGCATGGCTGGAATCTGAGTGTACTATATTGAAAACAAAACATAAGGAGTCAATGGAAAAAGGGAAACTACAGCACCTGAGGCTCAAAATTATCTGAAAGAAGGATGTTTGAAGATTTTACATCCCTGTGAATCACAGCCTGTGCACAGCCATTATGCAGAAACTCCAATGCCTCAGCAACACCCACAGCCACCTTATACCTCTCTTGCCAACCAAATTCATTAGAGTCCTTCTTATCACCTTCACCAAAAAACATGAGTAAGAAAGAAATTGGATTGTATAATGATTATGTAATTCCAAGCAGACAAGGCCAAATAAATATCTACCATGAATGTTCTCTTCTAGGCTTCCTCTTGTTAGAAAATCATAAACCAAAAGCAAATTATTGTCATCAAAAGAAAACCCAGATAAAGATATTATGTTCTTATGATGCAAAGTTGTGATGATCTCAATTTCCAGAAGAAACTCTTTGACCACATCTTCTGATGGCTTCAAAATTTTCACAGCAACCTCCTTGCCATCTGGAAGACATCCTTTATAAACATAGCTACTGCCGCCTTTGCCAACCAAATTTTCTGAAAACATCATTAAACTTCATTAAAACATATCAATCAGAAACAAAACAGGGGCAGGGATGTTAGTGAAATGAAAACAAACCAGGCGAGAAGTTAGCAGTTGCGGAAGCAAGTTCTTGGAAACTATACACTCTGCATGAGGATGAGTACTTCTCCTGTAAGCTGGACAATTCTTCATGAAAGTTACTGAAGCCAGAGTTAGAAGCAGATCCGAATGGCACAATGGCACCACTCTGCCCATCAAGGGTAGAATTGTCATTTTTGTCAATATTAATTTTTTTAAGATCCGGATGGACTACGGCTGATGAATGCCAGCTGGTCTGTTTAACTGCCCGTTGAAAAACATATGAATTGCTCACATACGACTTCTGCATGTGCTTTCTGGGCAGAAATACCTGGCGAAGGACAGACCAACCATGTTTAGACTGGTTTGATTCCTTAACCACAGTTGCACGACCATGACCGTCGCCAATTTTCTGGAACGGTACTAAAGCCAGTGAATCTTTCTTTTCCTGATCATCAGGCAAATCTTCAATAGCAGTACTCTCTGGAAGTGCTAACACCCTCTCACAACATTCACAGTTCCTCAGATTTGTCTTTGTACAAAGCTTGAAGGATTTTCTTGACAAAGCTGGGCCTTCATTTGGTTTTACTGCCATGATATTCAAATTAAATGTTTGTATTAATTCTCATATTTTTCTAATTGACTAATCACAGTTGCAAGCTTCGCTATAGAGAACATAACACTATACCTAGAACCAACTGAATTGAAAATAGCATTGCTCTTGGAAACAAAAGAATTAAAAATGCCAGAATGAGTATACATGAACAGAGGTACAACCTTGAACACCACATGTTTTTGTAGCCTCTCTGTGGAATGCAATTTTGCCATTGTCAACCGCAAAGACAGAGATGCATTTGGGCAATTTTTTCGCACAATACTTGGCAACGGATGCCGATGACCGGATTGTGTGATGCGTTTTGGAAGTCCCCACAATTACAGTTGATGCATTAAACGATTTCGCCTCCCGTACAAGAAGTTTCCGAGCAGACTCACCTCTACAGACTTTCAGCTTGAGATCAACCTGGGGAATGTTCAGCGGACTTGAGGCTCAAAACTCGCAATTAAAAAGAGAACGCACATGAGGATTTTTAGTTGTGAAAAGATGTCCACAATGTCATCCTCGTCTCTCAACAATTTAGAATATATAATTTTAATAATCACCCGAAACTAATCTCGAGAAACATCGCATTTGCCCAGAATGCAAGCAAACGATTAAAATAATGCCACAGAATGTGAAAACAACAAATAATGAAAGACTGAGAGCAGTACCCAACCTGCTTCAAGTTGCAGAAACCTTCGTAGACGGCGAGAACCGAATCAAAAGTATTTACAAGAGAGAGGAGCGATCCGGTACCCGCTGCACCAAAACAATCAGATTATACATAACCCAAAACCAAAGCAAAATCCAAGGTGAAAGAGAAATAGAGACCTGGCATACTGCCGATAACGTGAAGCGCAATGACATGGTCACCAGGCTCGGCCACTTTGACGAGAGCCCATGTGAGCAATTCCCTGCTCCGAGGATCCAACTTCACCCCAACGATGACCGTCCGACCACCGTCGCAGTCACCCGTCCCTTCGTCGGACGCCATGCTGTCCCCGGTCAGCTTCATTTACCTCTCTGTCGTACTTTACCTCTCTAGTGGTACCTCCAAGAGAAGGAGACGTGGGAAACGCCGTCGTTCCTCCCGCCTAGCCGAGTCGCTTTCCCTCCTTTCTCACTCTTATCGGTCTTTCCCACTCTCTGTATTGGGAATAGAGAAAACGAATCCTGCGCTACGATGGTGGCTATGGCAAAAACTGTCTCCGAAGAGAGGAATATTCGAGTGCTTCTCGGATCATTTTTTCTCATTATACCACTTTATCTTTACCGTTGGTTTAGTGGACCCCACTAAACCCAATGCTCCGTCTCTTGCCTCCAAAAAAGGAGTTCGTTAACGCCTAAAGTGCTGTAGGTATATCGCCGAGAAATAATTTTTTTAATAATATAAATCACAGAGAAATTATAAAATAACTGATTGGCCGCAAGAAATTACGATAACTTGGATCTTGTGGAGCAGTGCATTTGATTCAATTTTAATATTTTTTTATCTTAAAAATAATAATTTAGATTAAAAAATGGAATTAATAGTTAATTTGTGTCTTGTCTAAATAAGATTTCAAGTATTTAAATTAAATCTTAATGATATACATACGGCATATAAATCCCAAAGCAAGACTTGCGAAATTACAGTAGAGTCCATGCCAACAGAAAAGGAGTCCATAACGTTATAAAGATGATGATGATGAATTAAGAGTGTCACAGAAGAAATTGAAATACAAGTAGTTTGAAAATGTGGGGATGTCATAGTCGAGGACCATTTCAAAACCAAGAAGCTCCTACTAGAAGTACTATTATAATATTCGGATATATCATTTTTCTATAAACCAGTTAAGAAATTTGCTTTAATCTTTAAAAAAAGTTAATATAATATTTGGTCCCTCACATTTGTTTTCATTTGGTTTTAATTCCTCAAAGTTCAAACCATATGTTTTGGTTCTCTAAAGATAAAATTATCCAAGTTTTTAATGGTTATAGGGACTAATATTTTAAATGAAAAGAAACTTAAGAGACCAAAACCAAAATGAAGACAAATTTGAGGGACCAAAGTTTGTATTAACCCATCTTAAAGATAAAATTTTAATACACTTTATCCACTTTATCTACATTTATAGATTTTTTTTAGTTATATTTTGTATATATTAAAGGCACTTCCTATTTATGGAGATAATGATTAAAGTAAATTTTTTTAAAAAATAAAATACATTTATTGTAAATAATTAATTTAAATATTTTTTAATATATATAAATTAATTATCTAATTTTTATATTTTTTGGGTAAGAATTTTTATATTACTTTTGATTCTTAATATAAGATATAATTGATCATTTAATTTAAATTACAAACTAAATCTTATATGAAGATGAGAAGTACTTTTTTTAATTCTAAATACAAGACCTATTTTATAATATAAATTATAATAAAAAATTAATTTTGTATTTAAGATAGGAGGAGTAATATTTAGGATTGGAACGGATATATCAATATTTTGAGAAACAGACCAGGGCTTTAATTACCACCGAACATGTTGCGCGTGAAAGTTTGCTGCGGAATAAAATTGAGCGACCAATAAACGATGTTGCGAGTCAAATCATTCCAGGGGCTGCTTTTAATTTGGGGTCCATTAGGAGAATGATTTCACTTCTTTGTCATTCATAAATATAAATATATAATAATACCTCTTTTAATTTTTTTATTCAATTAATTAAAGAATTGGGGTATCCTATCGATTTCATATCAAATCATACATTATTACATGCCATTCTTGTGTTTTTATTGTGTAATCATAGCTCGTCTCTTCTTTCGTACATTTAGCTCTCTATTTATATTAAAATCACGCATTATTGTTAAAGTTTGTCAATTGAATTTTATATAGTCATGCTTAGTACGAGTGTTTTATTCTACTAACTTGAGGAAACTTGGGAATCAGTTTAAAACTTGAGTCTAAAGCTTTTAGCTTAAAAAAAAAAAACATAGAGCTGTCAATTTAAGGGCTGGACAAAAGGGAACAACGTATAAATACTAGGCTAAAAAAACACAATCTAAGTTTTCTAATATTATGAAGTACAATACTATGTTGCTTGTGATTTAGGTCTCGAATTTTGAAGTGCTTTATTTTTTAAAATGTTAATGACATATGAGAAATACTAATCAATTTTTTTAAGTAAGTACAAGTATCTTCTTATTAAAAAGTCTGTATCAAATCCTGAATATGAATAATTTTCTAGATGACAATTCAAATCTTAATTTGTCATATTACGAAGAATTAACTTCTTTTACTAGAGTCAATATTTCTCAATAAAATGGCAATTAATTTTTAAATTGAGAAAAGTTAGAATTGCGTATAAATGTATATATGATTCTATTAGCAGCCATTTCTCTCACACACACACACGTATATATAACATATAAATTAATTTTGAATTTTTTATTTACAAGGGCAAACATTAACGATTTAAAGTTATAATTTATAATAAGACTGAATTACCGATCTCTCACTTTGAGTCTCCATCCTATTCGGTTATTAGGTTAGCGGATGCCTTTTTTCCTTAGTGTGCGGAAAAATATGCTGGAGACACAACATAAACAAGAAAATAGAATAGTATAATGCTAAAAAAGTTTAGAAGCACCCAAAAATGCTTTTAAGAAACATTTTTAGTAAAATAAGACAAACTCCTCCATATATTTATTTTGTATATCGTAAAAATACTTTTAAAATTATGATTTTTATTCCATCTAAACACCTTTTAAATTTATTGAGCTTTGATGCGGATAGGAGGAGAATAAATTAAAAAATAATAGAGGAGAAAAATACCGTTCCGCTAGGAGGAAAAGCCAGAAAGGGCAGGAAGTGGTTGTAATGAGCACTACAGTACAAAGGGATTTGGTAATAGGGGATTGGTGGTCCCCATTTAAATAATTAACGTTCTACTAAAAAAGCACACAGAGAAAAAGCATGGTGTGGGCAGCTCAACTAGGAATTGTTTGGCCTTGCTTTGCTCTCGGCGTCCCACAAAATTTACACATTCTTTAATTCTTCATTTACCCCCACGCAATGAACCTTCTGCTTTATATAAATATATATAAATTTAATTCTTTATTTCTTAAAAGTGAATGGGGGTTCCTCATAATCATAATTAATTAAATGTATAATTGTACCCCAACATTGTTAACCTCGTAATAATAATACTAATAATAATGACGAGGACGGTCACACGTACTAATTATAGTGGGGATAGGATACCCCATGTGCCCAAAAAGTGCGAAACATACATAGTTGGGAAAGAAAAGAATAATGTTTCTGGTTACTCCTCTACTTAGAATTAAAGCCTCACAAACTTGGGAATTTTGTTTGCCTGGTTCTTCAAGAAACCAAACATGTGACACTCATGAGCCCTATAATCTGAAGCCCTGTTAAATGTAGAAATTAAATACTACATCCGATTCTAATTATAAGAGTTAGTTGATTAATTTAAGGAAATTAAAAAAGAAGTTAAGTAAGTTATTTATAATAAATATGTAATGTCTTTCCTAAAATATTATTACTAATCAAGTATATTGGCTAGAACTACCATTGTTAGGAAGACTAACTTGAGAAAAAATGCATAAATATGATAGGCAAAATGAACTAGAGTCTTATATTTAGGACTAAAATAAAAGTCAAACAAGGCCTTATATTAAGGACTGGAGGCAATACCTCTAGTTGAGGAGGTTACTTTGATTTTAAATATAATGTCTCAACTAACTTTATATCTCTCCGGTCAAAAAAAAAAAACTAACTTTATATCTCATGTTTATGATTTTATCTCCAAATCAATTTAATTAACTTATAAAATGATAAACTATTTACGGTTCTTAATTTAAGATCTAATTTATAGTTTAAGTGTAATCTGATATTATTTAGGGATATTTCAAAAAGATTATGTCACATATATTATAATTAATTAATTAATCTAATTTTTTTAATCTATTCAAAATAATTAAATAGTTTTTCTATTAAGGATAAACGATAGTAATTAATTTGTAAAAATTAAAAAATATTAGTTAATTTAGATATTTTTGTAAAAAATGTGTGTTAATTTCTCTCCTTTATTTGCCAGCATGTTAGTTTCTATAATTAAAATGTTCTCTTTGATCATTCATATTAGACTAATTCATTTATGAAGATCTCCTTACTACATACTACCTCTGATTCTTAATATAAGAGTTGGATGACTAATTTGAATTTTTTTTTTATGACTTCATAGTTATCCCTTGAAATTAACAAGGGATTGTTTCCGCATGAAGTTGCAATAAAATATTTAATATTAAGTGAAGATTAGATCTTATATCAAGCCAATTGTCAAGTTAATTACATAATTAATTCTAACAAGAGTTATAAAATACTTTGTAATGATATGCACATCTAAATAATCCCCCTTCTGAGTTCTAATAATAATAATTATTATAATTATAATAATAATAAAATTTCACATGGATCTTTTTGTTTAATTTTAGTTGGTCTTCTTCCATACTCATCTTCTTCACATGGCGCAAATATTCCTATTAACGTGGAGGGTGATTGTGATTCCATGCCCTCTCTCCCACACCACTTGCAATTCCACGCCCCATTTAAAAAGTTAAATTTAAAATTCCATTACATTTACACCTAATGCAACCATAAAGTTAGTATATAAAATAATTAAATACTTTGGTAATTAAGTTGAGTGGAAATGACTCAATTATCCTTATATAAGGCTGGGTTTTTTTTTTTTTTGCCAGCTATATAAGGTTGGGCTGAAGTCTTGTAATGGAATCAATCACACATAGAAAGAGGTATCCTAATTGAACTTAATAATGACATGGGAAATTGATATAATTGTCCTAATCAAATACTAGTGCAGCATTGATCTGACCAATCAAGTAAAATAGAGCCAAAACTTGAAATTTTATATTTTTAATTAATATTTTTCTATAGTAAAGTTTGGATGCGTTAGTTCCCAGTTTCATTAATAAGGCCAATATAAGTTTCATGATCA